TACACGACGCTCTTCCGATCTCCCCAAAACCCCAAAACCCCTTAAGTATTATTAGAGTAAAAATCAGAAATGTATAAATGTTTTTATGTTATTGTTATTATCTTTTATCTTATCTTATGTGAAATGCGTGCTATGACAGACATTCAAATTTTGAAGAACACGATCACTCAAACATTACCTAAGGGGTAGTCCCTTGGCCGCCAACACCGTTTGATATTTATCTGAGTATCTGGTCTCTGTATGAACGGAGACCCTTCCTGATATCTGGCAGCTTTTTCTCGACTAATTCTATTAGCAGTGGGGAGATCTCCTCCAAAAAGTTGTCGCTCATATCGTCATACCAGGTTGAGCAAAAGATCCCATTATCTGGCTGGAGGATAAAGTTATCTGATATATTATCAATGATAATAGTCTTGGACAGATCTCTCCCCAGTAGACTCAGGTCCTTCACCAGGAAGGGACCGTTCTAGGAGGTGTGCTATCTGTAAAGTCTGTATTTTATGTTTTGATTTATGTCTATCTGATCTATCACCTAGTCTGCATAGTCTTAGAGCGCTGCTGTAAATATAACTATCTCGTAGAATTTAGCCATCAGCTCTATAAAGTAGACACAGCCCGGTCGCACCAAAAAGTAGCTATCTGCTCCATACTATTAGAAAACAATTAATATGATCAATTTAATTACCTCAACATTGTGGATGAGAGTCTCATCGAGATCAAGGACTAAGGTATAGGTATTATTCTTTGCATCTCCTTCAAGTGGAGGCAGGAAAGGAGGAGATACTTTTGGCAGGTTAGTGAAGTTATTCGGGAACTGAGCTGATTAAGAGGAAGCAATAGCTGATGCCTTAAGAATGGCAAATGGATTCTTGCCTGTCAGAGAAGACCCACCTCCTGATGGTGCGCCTACAAGATTCGATGCTCCACTGGTTTTAGTTGAACTAGATATAGCCTTTGAAGCTAGAGTACCAGCCTTACCTTAAGCAGGTTTAGGCTCAGCAGGTATTATATTCAGTGCATCTGATCTGAATGCCTCAATGTTGTACAGCACTTCTCTTAGCTTTTCATTAGGTACGTTAGTTATCATATTCATCCAGTCCCCAATCATTTAAAAGAATCTTTTCTTTGCATTCTGCTTGATTAAGTTTCTCAAGATATTCTCAGCATTTTACATATGTACTTTAAGCAATTAAACTGCTTCCCCCTTTGTTTTGATCTTTTTAAGCATTTTATTGTCTAGAATTTTATTAAGATTCTGTGCCCACTGGTTTGACTTAGTCTTCAGAACTCTGGACATAATGATTTAAGCAAGAATCAGGAAGTTTTGGTGGGTAAAGAAGACTAAATTCTTGAGTGAGTTGTTTATCTGATGTCTTTATTCAGGAGCTAGCTATTCATTTGCAAGAAGATGGTAGAATTAGACAACACCAATAGATATTGTTTCATATTTCTGTGATTTAAGAATGGCTTATTTAAGATAGATATCTTTGATGACTTGGGTAGCTACAATCTAAGTGCAGTTACCAGTTTCTGTTACATCCCACCAATCATCGCAAAATAAAGATGCGTTTTAATTAGTACTTAAACTCTAAAATTTAGTTAAAATAAAAGACTGAATTACTTCTAGGACAGAGGCAAGATTTTGTTCTTAGAAAGAAACATCCATAAGATTTAGAGTAATCTTTGGTCTTTCAACAGCATCTCTTGATCCTACGTATTACTATGACTAGTATTGACCACTACCTTTAGTGATGGAATTGTTAAGTGTCTAAGAGATCGAGCTGTTTTCCATAAACAGCTAACTGTTCTCCCCACTCTAAGCCTTCAGCTCAACTTCCTTGCCATCATTAGGATCTAAGCCTGCTGTCAGTTATGACTGACTCATATTCTATATAAAATATTCATTATTCATCCCAAATATTATGCAATCATGAAAGTGATGTTTATGTCGAAGAAAACAAGGTAGTATGTATATATAGACTCCTTTAAAGAATAGATTCGATCTTTTAGCGTAAAATACTTACTCTGTTGAGTGAATTGGACTTGTCTTTTTCATTGAATGTCAGAGACTGCTTGGCTTGAATTGAGTCGCCCTTGCGCTCAGTTATCAACTGCTCATCATCTGAATTAGTCGTTCTTCTTTGCTGAAAAGGATTCTTTTCTAGTAAAATATTCACTTTATGCCCGTAATATCTGTTACTACTTACTTGAAGATAGATTTTTAGCTTTGGCTTAAGCAATTGAATCATTGAGGTCACCTTTGAACGATTTACTTTGCATGGGTGGCAATTGGATGTTTTGCTTGCCTCCTTTTACCAATCTCGATTGATCTTTTTTATTCTAAACAAGAGAGACAGTTCAAATATCAATTCATAAAATATATTGCAATGTTTGATTGGTATAGAAGTAGGCAATTATTGAGAGAGGCACTTACATTGAGAATTTGTTCAAGTCTGTTTTGCTTGTCTAGACTGTGAGAACGGGGTTCGTTTTAAAGTTTGGCTAAACGAGTATTTTTATTTACAGGCATCTAACCCATTTCTAAAGCTTGACTCATTTTAAGATGATTATATATAAATTTAATTAAATAATTTAATCAGTAAGTTATTATATTTAATTAAAGTTAAGTTTAAAAGTTCTATGACTAACTAGCATTTTAAACAATATTCAGATGATTTGAGAACAAATTACATCGCTCCCCTATCTTCTATTACATTTGTATTCTTCTTGATTCTTCAAGAGTAAACGATATAATTTTCATTGCAAATTTGCAATCTCGGAGGACTTATGCTTTTTATTCTTCTTTGATAAGGCAGCAAGTACTTCTGTGTGCTTTCGCTATTAATTTATTGTCCGTTAGCTGCATCTTAAGAGGGTTGTACCACCGAACCATTTGGACTCTGTTTAAAGTTACCTATATAATTGTTCTGACTGCACATATTACTGATCTAACCTTCATCATACTATTCAAATTCTACACTTCTACTCAGGAGGACATAGTTAAACCTGCCGATCTCCTAGATGTCTTCGATGATACCATGATTGACCATGTCGTTCTCAAAGCTCTTTTTCCTTCCAAAGGCATCTGCAGCCTTTTATTCAGCTGGTGACAATATGCTATAGGGATTAGAAGGATCAGGCAAAGTTTGATAACTGGGATCAGTACTTGGCATGTTTGACTCATCAATTAGATTTTTAGTTCTCTGACCTGGAGACCCATTACGAATCCTTATCAAATCGTTTTTCTAAATCGCCTCTCTGATGTTATAGGCTATCTTTTTCTGAATGGGCTTATCAAACTTAGATATGATCGTAGATGGAATGGCCTATCCACCAGTCCCACCATTTGTTTTACTGAAATTTCTTAGTGAAAATGATTGCTTTTGTATAATATTGTTTAGATTATTGCCATTACTGTTATTCATACTTGCACTTGAATTGTTAACGGCACTATTGTTCTGATTTGGATCTGCTGTGTTTTAAGCAAAGGATTGGCTGTTCTTTTTCTTATCTTCTGGTGACTTGTAAATCATTTGAGATTCCAATGGCTGATTGTAGTATTGATATGCAAAGTCATCCTACGCTTCAAGGTACTAAGTGCCAATAATATCAGAGTTATACTGAACTTGCGAGGGCAAAGTATTGATAATTTTAGAGGGTGAAGTAAAATACTATTGCTATTACTGCTGATCATTGTAGGATGCTTCAGTCATTTTCAAAATATTGCTATTATGATGAATCAACTCATTATCATTTGAATAGAATTCATCATCCACATCCTCATCCTGTTGATACTACTGGATTTCTCTGAGTCTATCGTTCAATGGGGAAAAAGGTGAAATCGTCTGTTGTTGGTTATCTTCTATAATGACAAAATAAGTAAACATTGGAAAAGTAAGAGTTAATGATGAATTACTCGAGTGAGATGCTGAGGAGTGATTTTGTAATTAATGATTTTCCATTCCTTTTTAATTATATTTCAATTACCCTGATTTTATATTAATTCTTAAGTTATGGGGTTTTGGGGTTTTGGGGTTTTGGGG